TGGTGTTATTTGAAATAAACTGAAATAAAAATTATCTTTTGGACTTATGCTCTTTTTTAAAATGCCTGACTATTTCTCACGGCTCAGTTAGTACATTTTCCCACCTACTGATATCGTCTGTGGCCAAAGTTTTCTCTGATCAAGCATCTTGTGATATGTGGGAGAGCAAAGTACAATAGGCTGTGGCATTAATATTAATCATGTCGGAAAAGCGGAATGTTTGAAAAATAGTAAAGTGCTGCTATTAAACTGGAGCAGTGGGACACTTGAAAAATTATGTTTACACCTTTACTCCAACAATTAGCCGTCAATGTCTAAACAGCGGCATGTCGGAAACGCAGGCTGGGACCTTTTTTTAAAACTAAAACAAACACCAAATATTAAGAGACAAATGCAGGAGCGAACATTATCCATCTGAAAATGCTTTGTTTTGAGTCCGCCTCGCCTTCTGTACCATTTTATTTGTTTTCATTTATTACAAGAACGGCGCACGCAAGAACCAGCACGTGTAATTTCCATCTTTAAACTGCATATATATGTATTTTTTTATAGCTTGACATTTCTTTTACGCGTCTTATCATTCAAAAACATGACAGCAAAATGAATTGAAATGGTTGGATCAGCTGGTCCTCAGAACGTTTCCCTGTGAACTCTTTAGACGGGCTCTGGCTCCACATGTGCCCCGGCGTGGATTCTCTGCGCTCACGTGACGTTTGGGGTTCTGATTGGTCGACGGGGCGGGCTGTGTAAACTCCGGGGCAACGGTAAATGTCACGAAGGCAGCGGCCGCGGTCTGAGAAATCCACTGTGGCGTAGACGAAGCCCGGTGCGTGATCTTTGACCTCGGCGTGCGCAGAGGGAGGTTAGGTCGTGATGCTTTGTGGTTTTCTTAAAGGTTATATAATCTACGACTTCACGTCTGGGTGGAGACGTGACATTTTTTGTTTTATTTGAAGTTAGAAATGGACGTTAAATAAAAGCTTAAAGCAGATCTATTATGTAAAATCGACTTTTCAGAGCTTTTCACCGTTATGTAGTAGTTTCCTTCTTATTTACTCTCTCGAAGTTGTATTTAAAATGATTCATGCATGTTGGGGTACCGTATTTTTTGGCCTATAAGGTGCACTTAAAATCCTTTCATTTTCTCAAAAATCGACAGTGCGTCTTATGTATTAATTCTGGTTGTGTTTACTGACCTCGAACTGATTTTGTGTGCTACACGGCACTCAAAAATCTGTTAAAATATTTTAGTACGACTTTGGTAAACTACAAGGACACACGGGATTGTCGGAACGTTACAGCTGCAGAAGTCAGAAGCCTCACGGAGTAAAGGGGCGAAGTATAGTTCTGCGTCGGCATTTATGACATTTATCAGTGAAATACTACAGAGAATATTTGTCCATTCATATATATACGGTCTATGGTACGACCTGCAGACGTATAATCTCTGAAAAGTTTAACATGAACCATCTCCAAGGTGATAGAAGCACAGAACAAACTCACAATCAGCAGAACACCCCTCTGTCACAGAAAGAACACTCATATTCCACTGAGTCGTGTCCTTTAGTCCGACAGAAACTGAACCACATCAGCGCACAAGGAACGAGCTGTTTTTTCAGTGCTTATAGTTTATGCAAATGAGCCATGTGGTTTAAGTTTCGTTTCTGTAAAACGTAAACAAATGTGCTCAAAGCTGCATTAAACACATTATTACTCAATGTATATTTGAGTCGTCCTCGTAGGAATAAAAAAAACCCCACCCACATTCACATTTATAATCCACATTCACCAAAACAGAGAAAACAGAAACGCCGGGGATCATCTGCCGTTTGTTTCACTTAATGTGCCTTATAATCTGGTGCAATTTATGTATGAAAATAGACGAGAGAATTCAACATTATTGATATCTCACTTTATAATCTGGTGCACTTTATAGTCCGAAAAATCCTTTGATGGAAAGAACAATAAATTACAAATCACAAAAAAAAAAGAGATACACGTAGAATTCAGCAGCGTCACTTAATTATTTTGGCACAGATGCTGCTCGCTGGTGTGATGTGCACGTGTCCATGGGAGGCGCCGACAGCTGCGTGACTCTTTGTTGTGATGACATTTACAGAGACGTCAGCTCCTATTAGACCAGAACCAGGACTAAAACCAAGACTAAACCAGAACTAAAATGGGACTGAAATCAGGACTAAAACCAGGTCTGAACCAGAACTAAAACCAAGTCTAAAAACCAGGTCAAACAAGGACTAAACAAGAACTGAAATCAGGTCTAAACCAGGACTAAAACAGGACTAAAACGGAACTAAAACAGGACTGAAATCAAGACTAAAACCAGGACTAAAACCAAGACTAAAACCAGGACTAAAACCAGGACTAAAACCAGGACTAAAACAGGACTAAACCAGGACTAAAACCAGGACTAAAACGGAACTAAAACAGGACTAAACAGACTAAACAGGACTAAAAACCAGGACTAAAACCAGGACTAAACCAGGACTAAAACAGGACTAAAACAGGACTGAAATCAGGACTAAAACCAGATTTAAAACCAGGATTAAACCAGGACTTAAACTAGAACTAACACCAAGACTAAACCAAAACTAAAACGGGACTGAAATCAGGACTAAAACCAGGTCTAAACCAGAACTAAAACCAGGTCTAAAAACCAGGTCTAAACAAGGACTAAACAAGAACTGAAATCAGGTCTAATACCAGGTCTAAACCAGAACTAAAACCAGGTCTAAAAACCAGGTCTAAACAAGGACTAAACAAGAACTGAAATCAGGTCTAATACCAGGTCTAAACCAGGACTAAACCAGGTCTAAACAAGGACTAAACCAGGACTTAAACTAGAGCTATAACCAGGACCAAACCAGAACTAAAAGAGGAGTGAAATAAGGATTAAAACCAGGACTAAACCAGGTCTAAACCAGGATTTAAACCAGGTCTAAACCAGAACAAAAATCAGGACTAAACCAGGACTTGAACCAGAACAAGCTCCTTTTGGACAGCAGATTTGTTTCTTTTATTAAGTCATTTTAGATCAGTCTTGAAATTAAAAAGCACAAAATGTCCAACTGTTGTGTCGTTTATTCTAATATTCAAGTGTTTTTATTGCTGAAAATTAACCCTGAAATGTATGGAGTTGTTATTGTGAGCGTGCTTGCCTCTCCACAGATCTGGCTCTCACTTAAAAAAAACATGACATTGTATTCTAATTAAAAGTCTTCCCCAAACTCACGCGGGCTGCTCTTTCTAAGAACACGTCGTCTTGTGTCTCTGAAGCGGCCGCGGGGTTCAGGGACTGTGGAGCAAACTGCATTTCCTTTAATTTGTCTTTTTATAGAAACGTGTCGTGGAAAAGAGCAGAGCGTAATCTAATGTAACGCAAAACAAACACCTCTGACCCGTGACTGGGCCTGGAGCTGTCACACGTTGGTCTCCACGGATACACGAGTCCAAAAATCGATCGCCAAAAATCTGAATAACGTGGAAATCGTTTAAGAAAGTCGAACCCGTATAGATTATAGACTCACGACACCGTTTTCCACACTGTATGGTCCTGTCTCATTTCTCTTTCCTCGCTTCCTTCTCCTTGATTCCTCTCCTCGATACTCCACTTTTCAGCTGTCGATCAAATGTGTCGTATTAAGCCGTGTCCCAAAGAAAACCTCGGAATGAAGGATTAAACCCGAGGGAGTCTTCAAGGAGCAGACGTCAGGGAAAAGAATCAAATGTTATTGGTCTCAGTGAGGAGTTTAGATCCTCTCTCCTCGCTGTGTCTCCTCTGTGGGCGGGGCTTCCTCACACATTTAATGCAGAATCAAGGAGAGGAATTCATGGATCTATTAAAATAACTGGATAGAGTATACATGTATCAAGAATCTCGGACTTCCAGTCATTGAACAATGCATACTAGATTTTCTGAAAAATTGAGTATCAAACCTCCATGTTTGTTTTCCCAGTGGGATGTGTCTATTGACAAAGTCGATCTTTTCAAGTCTTTTGAACCACATCGCTTTTGTTTCTGGTTCTGATATTGTCATATGTTAGTTTTGGGATTCAGACATCGTTAATTGTTGTGGTTGTTGGATCCTAACAGCAGAAAACGGCTCGAGAAATGTGTTTGTGAACTCCATAACTGCAAAAGTGAATCAGATGTGTGTGACTGAAAACCTCTGTTCAAACTGTTTCTCTTCCCAACGGAATTGAAAAATAGTGAAAGGCAAAGGCGATGGGCAGGATTGATCCACAGGAAAGACGTTAAAGGAAACCTTTGGCTCCCTAAGAAATCATCCCGAGTTTGCAGCGAACATTTTGTATGTGGAAGCGCCAACAAAGCAGGATCACGTTTGTTAAGCGAGAGGTGCAGAAGACAAACAGACTGAGCTGCACTTTCTTGTTCTTGTGGTTTTACAGCAACATCACGTCTTGGTCTCTTTGCAGTGGAAGGTGTTTCTTGGGGAACAGCTGGTGCCTTTCGCTTTGGGGTTGACTTGTTAAATTCGTAACTGAGGTTGAGTGAGGGATCGGGATCCCGCTTTGATGGCGCTCCACATACAGAATGTTCTCTGCAAACCCTGGACCAGACCGGAGGCTCAGAGCCCACGGCAGGGCCAGAGCTCGAAGCTGAGGCTCGGACCCTGCGGAGGCTCGGAGTCAAAGCTCGGAGTCCACTCTAGTCTCGGTCTGGTCCCGCTCTGGTCCTGCTCTGGTCCCGGACCTGGATCAGTCCTGGTTCAGTCCGTATGCGGTGCAAAAGTCCGACATCGCAGTCACGGAAGTCACGTAAACGGGAAATGGCCATTATTCGTTTTTTTTTCATTCTTCATTTAAACACAAAATCGAAAACTGAAAAAACAAATCATTATCTGTTTTTTTTCATTTTCTTATTTTCGGTTTTATATTGAAAAACAAATGAACGAATGACACACGGATTGTTCTGTGTTGTATGCATCATCATTTCTAACCCTGCTGCTCTCGTCTCGTAGGTGAACCTGGACAGTAAAACCCGGGACTTGACCATCCAGCTGCTGCAGGCGCCGTCCCACGCCTCCCTGAACCTGGCCCAGAAGAGGATCTACTCCCTCCTGGACACGGACTGCTACCCCCGCTTCCTCCAGTCGCCCCTCTACACCACGCTCCTGCAAGAGTCCGAATGACCGGCCCCCTGTGCCGCTCCGGGACACAAACTGCAAAACAAAAAAATCACCGTCTGTTAAAAGCACCTGGATTTTTTAATTTAAGAATATGAAAAAAAAAAAAAAAGACCCGTGCACGGTTCTTTCCCACTTATATTAACCCCAGTACAGATAGAGTGTATATATCCGTCGCGTGCTGCCTGCGTCTTAATTAGAAAACGCTTTATTGCCCGATGATCAGGAAGTGCACGTTAGCATGCTAGTTGTTGTTATAGCTGTAGCTGTCACGGCCAAACTCCACTCTAGTGTTGCTGTGAGTAATTAAGAAGCTCGAAAGTGAGTAGAGTAAAGTAAAGGTCACTGCAAACTGTTTAAAAGGAAATAATTCTGGTTTTTCATAAAAGTTTTAAATTCAGTGATTAATTTGACATACCGACGCTTCGACGTTCCGGCATTCCGACACGCCCCCGTTCCGAAAGCTTTCGTTGCCGTTCTGACAATCTACTCATAGTTTGGAGCGTCACCTTTTTTGCCTTGTAAACAAAGTGTGGGCCGTGTCTCTGAACCAGGACTAAAACTAGGACTAAACCAGGACCAAAACCAGGTCTAAAGCAGGTCTAAAGGAGGACTAAATCAGGACTAAACCAGGACTAAAACCAGAACTAAATCCAGGTCTAAACCAGGTCTGAATCAGGGCTAAAACCAGGACTAAACCTGGACTAAACCAGGACTAAAACCAAGACTAAAACCAGGTCTAAACCAGGACTAAAACATGACTGAAATCAGGACTAAAACCAGGTCTAAACCAGAACTAAATCCAGGACTAAAACCAGGACTAAACCAGAACTGATATTAGGAGTAAAACCAGGTCTAAACCAGGTCTAAACCAGAACTAAACCAGATCTAAAATCAGAACTAAATCCAGGTCTAAACCAGGACTAAAACCAGGACTAAACCAGGACTAAACCAGAACTAAAACCAGGACTAAACCAGAACTAATATTAGGACTAAAACCAGGTCTAAACCAGGTCTAAACCAGAACTAAAACCAGGACTAAACCAGAACTAATATTAGGACTAAAACCAGGTCTAACCCAGAACTAAAACCAGGTCTAAAATCAGAACTAAATCCAGGTCTAAACCAGGTCTAAACCAGGACTAAACCAGGACTAAAACCAGGACTAAAACCAGGATTAAACCAGAACTAATATTAGGACTAAAACCAGGTCTAAACCAGGTCTAAACCAGGACTAAAACCAGGACTAAACCAGGACTAAACCAGGACTAAAACCAAGACTAAAACCAGGTCTAAACCAGGACTAAAACATGACTGAAATCAGGACTAAAACCAGGTCTAAACTAGAACTAAATCTAGGTCTAAACCAGGTCTAAAATCAAGTTTAAACCAGGTCTGAACCAGTCTGTGGAAATATTGTCTCAAAAAGAACACCGCCGCATCTTCATAACTCCCCTGTGTGTCGGAATGGCGGAATGTTTGATAAAAAAAAAACCCAGTACAGATATTTTGTAAAATCAGCTCCTTGGGTCAAAACAAAACTGTTGTACTGTCTGTTTCTAAAGTTATTTTTATCCTCTGCGAATCAAGAAGTCAGGTTGTACTGTCAGCATGCTCGTTGTTGTTATTACCGCAACAACAAAACACCGCTCTAGTCTGATCGTTTTGTTAAAAGCTCATTTAAACTCATCGCGGTGAATAATTAGGATGCAAGAATGAGTTAGAAAAGTTATTTTTTTACTCTTTTGTAAACCATTTAAAGTAAACTAGTCCTGTTTTCACGTTTCACAACCGAAAAAAACAAATTCTTAAAGGTGCATTGTGTGATGTTTCTGGTGTTGGGTCCATCAAACGCTTTTCTCCATGGAGATATTCTTGCTTTGTCTGGAATGTTTCACAGTATGGCATTAAACTAGGGTGATCAGACGTCCCTGTTTACCCGGGACAGTCCCAGTTTTGAGCCCTTTTCCAGCAGATTTATACAAAATCCCCAAAATTGTCCCAGTTTTATACAAAAAATGTCCCAGGTGTCCCTATTTTTGACCAATCTGACCCCTGCCAACAGTAAAGAGAGGCATTATTGTCACTTGTTTAGGTAAAATCCAGAAAAGCTGCTTAAAAATGACCAAAACACAAAGAAAATGTGACTATACTGACTCATGTTTGTACTGAATGGGCCGAATAGTTTTCCTTAAAGGTTGTATGGAGGATTTTTTATTTATTTTTTTCAGTTTCAAATTGTCAGTGAAAGTTTAAAATATCATTACAGAGACGCAGCAGCCTTGTAATTATGATGACCAAAAAAAAAAAAAGAATGAAAATCTATCAACTGTGGACGTAGTGAGGCCAGATAAACATCAGCCAATAGAAAACAAGACTTCCTCTTTATCTATTGGCTGTTAGGTTGTCAATCAAACTCGGGGGGATTACGTGGTTTATGCAGCGGTTCTTAGGCTGCGATCAGACTGCAGCCTGAAGTGACCCAAATCCGATTTTTTGGCCCCTATGTTCCTGTATCTGATCTTTTAATGACAGTCTGAACGACACAGATCAGATTTTATCAAATGTGACCCAGGACACTTGGATATGTGCTCCTGAAACCGATACATATCTGATCTTTTGACATGTGACTTCAGTCTGAACGGCCAAAGTGCATTCATCCACCTACACGTTATCAACAAGACACAAACGTCACTATTCTGCACTGAAGTAGGAGAAAAAATTGTTAATGAACTCCGTGTCACTGAAGTGAAGCACATCACCACTCACCACTCTTGGCTCCGTCTCCACATCCACACGTTCCTTTCAACGGACGTCGCTGCCGCTGTCCCACAAAACACCACGACCAAAAACCTCGTCCTTCTCCTTCTCAATCTCCTCCTTAAAACAAGTAAGTTGTTCATGTTCTGGCTCCGGTACGAGAGGAACTTTAAAATCTCCAGGTGCTCAATGCTGCGTCCATGTTTGGACAACTTCTGTAAACACAGAGACGCTCGCTGCGGTTGACGTCGTCGTGTCTCCAGTGCACATGCGGGACACTTTCGGGCCGTTTAACGTTCACACTGGAGTCACATACAAGTCGCATTTAATTGGAAATGTGAACGACCTCGCAAAAACATCGGATTTCACCAAAAAATCGGAATTGAGGGTTAAGCCCTGCAGTCTGAACGTAGACTTAGAGGCTTTTTCAAACTGTAGCTTCCTCGCATTTCGCACAAAGTTTGTTGCAATGGCAGATGATGAGAATCCACGTCCAGTTCGCCGCAAAAGAAAGTCCGTTTTTGAGGTCGCTGAAAGAAGAAGAGAAGGGGAAAAGGAGAGAAGCCAAACTGAGGTGATTCTTGGAGATTCCTTCCAGCGATGGCGCGACTGAAGCAGACGAAGGATCTAAAAACTGATGCATCGGTTGATAAATTACTTCTAGACAGGTCACTTCAACAGTCATTCTGGCTGTAAACAAGCGTGATTTCTAGAGTAAAGAGGCGAGAGGAGATGTTTCTTCTGAATGAGCTGTGGAGGAGGAAGGTGGTGTCACGCATGTTCCTTAAAAAAAAATCCTCTATACAACCTTTAATTACACACTCATTTCACAGTTTTATTATTACCAACCACCACAAACCGGGTTATGTCCCAGTTTTTGTTTTTTTTTTTCAAAATCTGTTCACCGTATATTAAACCTTTCTATCTCCATGAAGACCAAACCAGACCAAGTTACAGGTCGGATCTGTGGAGAGGCGACCCCACTCACAGTCCGAAACGCCTGTTTTTCTAAGTATTTTTCAGCTATAAAACAACCTGTCATTGACTAAATGTGAAGTAGAGCTGTTTAAAGTCATACTGTGGAACATTTCAGGCAGACAAATGACATCTCCATAGAAACAAGAGGATGACAGACCCCCAACCAAAAAGTTACACAGTGCACCTTTAAGCTTTGGTATGATTTTGTGTAATAGTTTTATTTCAAGCCAGATTTTCTGTCCATGCTGAACTGAAACCAAAACTTCCATCATCTACAGACTTTCAAAATCAATAAATTAAAAACATAAATAAATAAAAAACTCAAATACTGTTTTAGCACATGCTGGTTTTTTAGTTTTTGCAGAGCTCCGGGCCTCAAAAGTGCCCAGCGTCTGTAGAGTGGACTGTACATAAGAACCTGTACTGAGAAAAACGTTTTAGACTTTTTAGATGAAAATTGTCGTCTGGAAATATTTGATTGTACTGAAATAAATAGATTAATGTGCGTCTCCACTTCTCTGAGTTATGTTGTGTTGTGTTTTTGTTTAAGCGAGGTTGACCAGACGTCCCCTGACCCCGGTTTATTTATCCAAAACCAGTGATTTGTCCAAGTTTTATACAAGAAATGCCTCAGGTGTCGCTATTTTAGACCAATCTGATCCCCGCCAACGCTAAAGCAGGGAAAATATTGTTGTTTATTTAACGAAAATACAGAAAACCGTGCTTGAAAATGACCACACACAAGTCTCTCAGATTAGGATTGACCCACAAGTGAGTCGAGAATGGACAAATATACTCGCTCTTTTCACGATTTTATTCATACCAATCATCCCAACTCCAGCGTGTCCCAGTTTTAAATATTGAAAATCTGTTTGCCGTAATTTTGGGAAGTCACACGGTCGAATACAAGTGCGTTCGTGACTGTAATAAGACCATATTTTGTACATAAAAACATGCATTTATAAACCATTTCAGAGTCCATAAACTTCAGGTTTGTTTAGATATTTTGAGGGGATTAATCTGGCCCACAAAACTTGAATAATAATAATTTTCAGTGTTTTAAAATTTCAATTAATTCATTTCAATAAATAGTAAAATAGGATACAGATATTTTGTTGTGATGCTCATGTTATTTTTTCCTCTTATGAGGTGGATTACAAAAAATACTCCATCCATCTGCTCCTGGTCCGGTCCTTCCGTCAAATTTTAAAACCCTTTGTGGCCCACGAGTCGAAAAGTTTGCCCACCCCTGTGCGAAACGGTCAGATCCAAAAGGAAGCTCTGCTGTGATTGGTCATTAGAAGGAATTGTCATTTGTTTTACTAAAATATAGAAAACTGCTTGAAAATGACCTTTAGGCAAAAAAAAAAATGCACCGATAGAAGTCCTTCAGATTATGACTGACCCACAAATGAGTCGAGAATGGACAATTATACTCGCTCTTTTCACAATTTTATTCATACGAACCATCCCAACTCGAGCGTGTCCCAGTTTTAAATATTGAAAGTCCGTTTGCCGTAATTTAGGGAAGTCACACGGTCGAATACAAGTGCGTTCGTGACTGTAAGATCATATTTTGTACATAAAAAGGTGCATTTATAAACCATTTCAGCGTCCATAAGCCTCATGTTTGTTTAGATATTTTGAGGGGATGAAGAGTGAGGACAGACATTCAGTGAACTGTCAGAGCTGGTGTCCAGTGGAGTTGCTCTCTGTGTTAATCCAGAAACATGTTTTGTTTTTAGGGCTACGTTTATATGACGACGGTCTGAACAGAAGACGCAAAAGTGTCGTCGCTTTTTAACTTTTTATTCCGCGTTCAGACGAGCGTTTTCGGGAGGAAACCTGCGTGCATACGGTGACGCAAAAGTGTGTGGAATTCGATTGTGTGGTGACGCTCGGTGGTGATGTTTGTGACGTAAATGTGTGCACGACGTGAGCAGATCTGACCAGAGTTTTGCGTCTTGGGCAGCGTAGACGGAAACGCTACAGCGGAGGGTATTCAGCTTTTCTACTCTGGAGGGTGGTTTCAGATTTTTGGATTTTTAAACCCCAAAAACACTGTCACCGTCTAAACGAAAGGCACTTCTGATAAAATATTTTGCCGGTTTTACCCGCAAGTGTAAACAGGCTCTAGTCGCTCCAAATACAAAATGTTCACTGCAAACTCGGGATGATTTAGGCAGCCAAATGTTTCATTTTTGGTCCTTCCTGTGGATCAATCCTGCCCATCGCCTTCACCTTTCACTATTTTTCAATTCCGTTGGGAAGAGAAACAGTTCACACGCATCTGATTCACTTTTGCATTTATGGAGTTCGCAAACAAATTTCTCGAGCCGTTTTCCGCCGTTAGGATCCAACAACCACAACAATTAACGATGTCTAAATCCCAAAACTAAAATATGACAATATCAGAACCAGAAACAAAAGCGATATGGTTCAAAAGGCTTGAAAAGATCGACTTCGACATGTTGGTTCGATGCTCACTTTTTCAGAAAATCCTTCCCAGTATGAATTGCGCAATGACCGGAAGTCCGAGATTCTTAATGCGTGTATTGAATAAATGCAAGAGAAACCGTTTTATTGACATGTAGTGGAACATTGAGGCAAACGTTTTAAAGTTCCTGTTTAAAGCTCTGTTGTCGTCGTTGGCTCTGAGGTCGTCGGGTTTGAGTTTCTTTATAATTGCGAGTTTCCAAAAAGAGAAGTTTAAAGGAAATCCTAATATGGAAACTTAAAGGTCACAGCTCGTGTCCTTCACACACCAACTCCACGAGATTCCACCAACTCCGCCCACTGCCTCTCCTCCCTCTCCGTCTGTCGCTCCTCTTTCTCCTCCTCTCTGTTCCTCCTTCCCTCTCTCTCCTTCCCTACACCCTGTCTCCTCTCTCTCTCCCTCCTTCACTTCTTTCCTCCCTCCATTCATCCTTCTCTACCTCCTCCCCTCTCCTTCCGTCCTTCCCTGCCATCTCCCCGTCCTCTCTCCTTCTCTCCACACTTTGTCTCCTCTCTCCCTCCTTCACTTCTTTTCCCACTCCATTCTTCCCTCTTCTCTCTATCCCCCGCCCTCTCTCTTCTCCCTCCATTCTTCCCTCTCTACCTCATCCCCTCGTAGCTCTATCCCTCTCTAGTTTTCACTCTTTTACTCCTTCCTTCCATCCTCTCCCTTTCCTCCTTCTCTACATCCTTTGCTCTCCTCTCCCCCTCCTCTCTCCTTACCTACACTGTTTGTCTCCTCTCTCTCCCTCCTTCACTTCTTTTCTCCCTCCATTCTTCCCTCTCTCTCTCTCTCTTCCCTTCCATCTCTCCCTCCTCTTTCTATCACTCCACTCTTTGTCGCTCTCTACTTCTCTGCCTCCCTTCTATACTCCCGTCTCTCCTTCCTTTCCCCTCTCCTCCTTCCTTCCTTCCTTCCCCCTCCCCTCCTTCCTTCCCCCTCTCCTTCTTCCTTCCTTCCTTCCTTCCCCCCTCCTCCTTCCCTTCCCTCCCCCTCTCCTTCCTTCCTTCCTTCCTTCCTTCCCTCCCTCCTTCCCCTCTCCTCTTTCCTTCCTTCCTTCCCTCCTCCTCCTTCCTTCCCCTTCTCCTCCTTCCTTCCTTCCCCCTCTCCTCCTTCCTTCCTTCCTTCCCCCTCTCCTTCTTTCTTCCTTCCCCCTCTCTTCTTCCTTCCTTCCCCCTTCCTTCCCTTCCTTCCTTCCCCCTTCCTTCCTTCCTTCCTTCCTTCCTTCCCCCCTCTCCTTCCTTCCTTCCTTCCCCTCTCCTCCTTCCTTCCCCCTTCTCCTCCTTCCTTCCTTCCTTCTTTCCTTCCCCTTCTCCTCCTTCCTTCCTTCCTTCCTTTCCTTCCCCCTCTCCTTCTTCTTCCTTCCTTCCTTCCCCCCTCCTCCTTTCCTTCCCCCTCTCCTCCTTCCTTCCTTCCCCCTCTCCTCCTTCCTTCCTTCCCCTCTCCTCCTTCCTTCTTTCCTT